TCATCAAATAAGTGTGCACAAACAAACAGCTGGATGAAAACACACGTAGTGTAGTTTGTAGCTTCCTATTCATTTAGCTGCTCTTCGTTTTGTGCTCTGCCTCGTGCAAAATATTGCGCCCGTTTGGTCCAAAAGAAGGGGAAAAAAGGAGATAAAGATGTTCAGAATCAATCTAAACTGGGATTGTTTCATGCTTATAGAGCTCGTGAGAGAGAGGGGTGCAGTCTGAAGAACTGTGGAGACAACTGGGGGAAATGCAATGCAGAGAAACAGACCAATGAGCAGAGCGCCGGTTAAACCTCCACTGTTTTGTGCTGCAACAAACACTTTTGCTCTCCAGTTATTTCTGTCTGTAATTTCAATGTGATGTTTCATACTCAAAAATATATCGGAAAAATATCTGCAGATCAATAAGAAGCAAATAAACTTTTTTTCTGCTTTCAAACTCTCAAACCAGGAAGTTGACTTTTTCTTGAACACAATGCACTGCATTGGTATTTTGTTTTAATTCAATACACGGCATGACGATGAGTTAATTACAGACAGAGACGACCTGTAGGTGTGTTTTGCAGCTCAGTTGTGAGGAAACTCGCTCAGCGGAGCCTGTGGGCTACATGTTAAAAAGTCAGAGATGATTTAAAAGGAAAGTTTGGTCTACTCCATACTCGGGACTGGTGAAGCACTCTCACACCATCGAAGTACTGAAAATAAGAGTCCTATATCCACAAAATGCAACTTCACCATCGAGCAGGGGGCAGGAATCCATGGTTGCTCCACAATTTCTTCTCACACATTTTTAAGTGCTACTTTTACAAGCACAAAGAACAAAAATTAAGCCAGCTGGCTGTCCGCAGATCAGCCAGAAGAAAAGCTCACCCGATTCAGTTTCCCGGTTTTTATCCGTTGTCTGTCTTTTAAGGACAAAGTAACCAGAAAAGACAAAACCTTAAGGTGCCTAAGATTGTCCAGCATGTTTCAAAGGGCAAATAGGGGTCGCCATTTTACCCCACCTGTCCTCGAGTCTCTCCAACCACAGCAATACATTAAAAGTTAAAAAAAGCAGGAGGGGGGAAAAAAGCAGAAACAGCAATAAAAACAAAAATTGTACTTGGATCTTTTGTTAGTGATTTTTTCACATCTTGGGGGAGGGCCTTCACCAAAGTGCAGAACTGGTGTGTCGGTCATGTTGCCATATTGAGGACAGATTGTGTCAGTGGACGTGGTCACACGATGGGTTTGCTGCGGTCGATGGTATCGGCTTTCTTCAGTTTGCCCTTACTGAAGGCCTGGATGGAGCTCAGCAAGGCGGCACGGCCTCCTCCCGCTCCATTAGAGGAGGACAGAGGAGGAGGAGGACAGGAGGATGAGTCCTGTAAGGGGGGAGGAGGTGGCGGTGGAGGAGGTGGAGGGGCAGGAGCAGTGTGGGATCCTGGGTACGAGACAGAAGCATAAACAGGAGGAAGTGTTAGAGGGAAAACAAAGGTTTCAGAGAACATTCCTCTGCAGCTGATTGCACAAAGATGCTCTGGAATCTGGTTCTGATCTGAAGTAACCTGGAAAACTTTATGGATCTAAAAGAGCTTGGAATGCTAAACAAGTAAAGGTCTTCCATATGATCATGTTTCACCTAATTATTTCCACATGAACACTAACCTGCTCACTGTCAGTTTTAATGGACACACTTAACACTGGCAGAAAGTAAACCAGTTCCACAAAGAAACACAGTAAGACTGAAGTTTGGGTGTCCATGACTTTGTACTCATTTGATAATTTATAGCCATTTTGCTAATTTCTAATAAGCAAAAGAAAATTTTCAATGGAGTCATCTGGAGGTACAAATGTATTTATTTTTTTTGTAAACTGGGACAAATGTTTAGTACCAAAGGGATTTTTGATCTTTATGGTCACTTAACTGGCCTGTATCTGTTCACATTTTGGTTATTAGTTTCTCTTTAAAGTTTATCCATGAATCATTGGATTAGTTTGATAAGGAAACCTTTTATAATTGTTGCCACCTTTGAAGCATAATTTAAGTCTTTCTAGATGTGTGATTACAAAAAACATCACTGGGAAGAATTAATCTTTGCACTGAATCTAAAATATACATGTGTCACAAATGGAACACATGCCTCACAGCTCTAATTTATACCCGTTATGTATTAACTTCTATCACATAAATGCATTTTATGTACTTTATTTAGATACTGTCTTGATGATATTTTATGTGTCTAAAGAAAAGTTGGACGCTGTTTCCAGAGAGACTTTATCTTTGTGAAAGCAGCAATCTCAGATATCACTATGACCAGGCTGAACTCAATCCATCATCAATTTCAATGGAACAACTCTCAGTTCCTGACACTACTCAAATACTTGTGAGAAACACAGTCTAGTGGTTCTTAAAATTAATACACATGTAGTTAGTGAGGTCTCTTTTGTCCTTTTCTCTATACAAACGGCTCCAATCAGAGCAGCACTCACGAACTTCAGTACCAGCTTCTATCAGAATGAAATCAGAGTTCTAGAATGCTCGGCTGAAGTTCCAGAACCTCCAACTTCATCCACAGCAACAGAAATCCAAGCTCTCTCTGATTGGACGACTCTTACAGCAGTGCATTCTGGGACTTTTTTGGCCTCGTATTCCTTTGTTTCCTGAACATTGAACTGATGGTGAATTGAACTCAAACCCGTTACGCCTCTTACAGTTGCGCCATTCTGCATCCCCAAGCTCCGTGAAAGCCAGGGATTACAGGCAAAGAAGCAAAATGCTGGGAAGCGTTAACATGTGGGTAAAGCGGAGGCCAATAGCCGCGACTGGAGTTCGCCAACTCCACAGTGAATAATCCGTGACATAATGAAAGGACATCCATCAGTCTGACAGATGGCAGCCGACCTGGAGAAACCGTTCTGTGCACCCAGGGTGTTTGAGGATGATTGATGATTTTTTAAACATAAAAATCCAACTGTAATAATTTAGCGAGTGCAGAACCTTTTGTGGCGACTGATTTTTCTCCAGGATAGCTGTGTGAAAAGATGACTTTCATTACGTTTGGCAACCACAGTGACCTTCAGGGATTTTTCATGTAATATTCAGATGACTCTTCTGTTAACGTCCACAGCTACACTCTCAGTGAGACCACATCTCATGGTTAAATCGACAAATTTGAACTGAAATCTGTGACCACATGTTGTGCACCCGATTTAAGTGTCACATTGTTTCAGTTATTAGGTTTTGTAAAGGTTTGTTACTGTAATGAGCTGGAATGTTCAAAGTTAAGTTGTTTGTTTGTTTGCTTTTTAAAATTGATCACAAAATCATACAGTTTACATCAGTTTTAATGGCACCTGTCATCACTGACAATGCCACCTCCTACAGAATGCGCCTGACGACAGGTTTGTACCATAAACAGTATTATAAAAAATAAATTAAAAACAACAACAACAACAACAATAATAATACTAAAAAAAGAAACAATTAAAAATTGACCATGCTGCCACAGCGGCACCCATTGTTTTAGTCTGGTTACGAAGGCTTGAGCTGATTCTCGTTCATTTTGGTGTTTAGAAGCCAGAGATGACAAGTAAAGGAAGATGATGGTTCTTTCTGACTATTATGATCGTCACAATTTACAAAATGGACTTCGTGTTTTATTCAGTATGAACCGAGACTACCAATTGAACCCATTAACTCCTCAGGAAAGAGCCATTTTCCCCGTATACATACATACAGCTGCCCCTTTTTTTTTTTTTTGCAACCACACAAATCACCGCCTGCTGGCCTTGACAGGTTTAAGGGTCTTCAGCACTGACTTGACCTTTCAGACCGTCTGTGGTTTGGAGAGACCTCAAGCCCCTCTGAACAGTTATTTACTTGGTTTAGATAAAACTGATGAGATGTTTTTATTGCTGGGCCTAAAGAAGGAGGTTTTGGCCAGTTATATATGCATAATAAAAACACCCATTTAATCCAAAAGTTAGTTTCTTTAAGATTGCTGTGGACGAAGAATTATCTGAATATGTAATAAAATAAAAAATAAAAAAAAGATACAGAAAAACCAAAAATAAAATGATAGTTTTTTGTGATCTGCAGAAGAGCTGTGTAAGGCAGGGAGGAAAAGCTATGGGGGTAAAATGAAAAGACATTTTACAGCTAATGGCACAGAGAAAATTCAACTAATACCACCTCACAAAGTGTTGGAATGATGGTGATGAAAAAAAAAAGTGACATCTCAACCTAACCAAATAACCATCAGACAAAACAAACAAAACAGACAGACAGACAGACGTGCTCTAACAGACTGACCAGGCAAAGCTGACCAATCACAATCTCCAATGAAAACAGCCGGTCTAAGTCAGGAAGGAGTTTGACCGCCTGTGATGTTTAGAAATCATTGCAGATTGTGAGTTTTTTTTTTTTTAAAAAGATGTGCATACACCCCCATTAACAAGTTCTTTCATTCTTCATTTCAGGACTCAAACCTATGAGAGCAAGATTAGCCAATAAGACACAGTGATTACATAAACTCAGTTTGGCAGTTTGGTTTGAAATGATCAAACGTTGCTGATGTTTCTGAATCAAAGACTTTTTGACAGCGTAAAAAAAAAAGATAAAGGATTAATGGACATGAGTATAAAAGTCTGATTACAAATAGACCAAACAGTTTAAATCAATCTCTTTCCTTCATTAGCGGCCTTCATAAATGTGACCAGGTCTTGTAACGAGGAACTGGGGTATACAACAGCTTTAAAAAAAAAAAAAAAAAAAGAAAGAAAAAAACCCACTGGAGACCTTCATCATCATTGACATCAGAATCTTTTACTTTACCCAAAGACACGGTCAGAATGGAGCATGCTCTACAGTGGAGACAGCACAGGAAGGAGAGAGAGAAGGAGATGACTGTTATCTGTTCAGTGGACCAATCAGCATTTACACAGTATCACCAGGACGAGGAGAAGGGAGAGGAAAGCAGAGAGGAGACACTAACAGCAGGGAAGGAAGCTGGTGTTGACTTTGTGTCATCAGAGTTTGTAAGTTGGTGACATTTTATATTTTTCTTGCTGCTCTATATGACGTACAGTTTACAGATGTATGTCTTGAACCAAGTTTAGATTAAATATATTGCAGAGAAATCTAGATGGCATAAAGCGCCAGCGCTTTGGTATTAAGTTAAAAAAAAGAAAAAAAAAGCACAATCTGTGTGCCAAGTTTAGAAATGGAGAATACCACAAAGGCTATGTCCATCTTCTGAATACAGTCTATGGTTTGTACCAAAATTAAAGAAACTTTCTCAAAGTGTTTGAAGGTCTTATGGTAGTTTATTTAGTCTCTCAGTATTAAAACTACAGTAAAATACTAAACCAAAAAAATTACACTATGTCTATAAAGCTGTTTTTCAAAATGTCCATCTGCAGTAAGATTGAAGGGTAAGAAAACACCTGCAGGTCCTCTAGATGCTGCTTGAAACTGCTCCGATCCCCACAGTACAGAATACAGCTTTGGTTTCGGACAGTTCCCTTCTTCCTATCTGAGTGGGATAAATATATTTTAAAGCTTATCTTATATTAAGGATAAGCGCAAGAGAATGGATGGATGAAAAGCTTAACCACCTTGATAACAGAGTTTTGGGCGTGGCTGTGTTGACTGACAGGTGCTCTGACACAGGAAGTTATAGCAGATCAGCTTCTGCTGAACTTATTTCAAGTCATTATAAACTAACCCTCTTCATTGTGTGTGTTGCTGGTGCCGTTTGTGTGAAACAGACCATCCCAGAAGCTTGTCGTTCAGTTTTCAGATGATGAAACTGTGGCTACATCAATGTTTCATACCACTGGGGATGGACCGACACACAGCACGTAGATTTTTCTTTTTTTAAACAGTAAGAAAAATACAAAATTCTAGCAGATTTAAAGTTTAAAATATAAAATGAAACATCCAGGTTTCCCACCCTGCATTCACCTACCTAGAGACAAAACAAAGTCAATAAGATGTACTACTACTGCAGAGACAGATACCTGCCTGAAAACCACACGATGAGAGAAGAGGTGAAGAGACAGAGACAGACATTTCAAGTTAATGATTAGTCTTTATAATCAAACACGCAAATTTCAGATGAAAACTGTTATTGATGTGAGTCACAGCACAACCCTGGCAGGTTCTCGTCACAGGGGGGCCCGACACAGTCTGTCTGACAATGTCCAAAACAAAGAGACAGGCGGGAGAAAAACAGGCAGTTAAAGTGACAGCTGTAAAGACAGTCTGACAGACGTACCTGTGGTCGATGGGGGAGTGGGGGAGGAGGGGCATGTGGGCGGGGAACTAGCTCCAGAACCTGAAGACGGGACAAAGAAACCCCTTTAATCATCTTTAACTTGAGAGTGACTCTTAACTTTAACATCTAGCATGTTAGAGGTTAGATGGTCTCTTTAACAGTAACAGATGAAAGCTACATGTGCCATCACAGCCAGCCTCACATACTCTGTCCTAATTTCCTGATCTCATTAACAGATGGCGACGGCGCTCGTGTGCCAAGAAATGCCTCTAACAGCAGCGACCTACCAGAGTTATTGTTGTTTCGGACCGAGACATCATCTTCATTTTCATAAGCTGAATGTCTGGACTTCTGCAAACATAAAAACATAGCTGTGTGTTTAATTCTGGAACAATCTGTAGGCTGTGTATATCAAATGTATTTCACTTCAGACAGAAAACAACAACCCGTTTTCATCACAGAGGAAGTGTTAAACTTTAATTAGAGCTGCTGGTGCGTGCTGACCTTCCTCGCCAGGATCTTTCTCTTCTTCTTCTCCTCCTCTGAGCAGTGGTGAGACTGAGCTCTGGTCAACCTCCTGTGTTGGTGCAGCTGCAATCAGACAGTCATACAGAAAGTTATTTTCAACATCAGGAAATTTCTCATAAAAACTGGCCACCCTGTAACACTGCATTCAGACGTGCTCGTAGATCCGTGTATCCTGTATTTCTGACACTGAATATTCTTGAACAAATTAAGCAAATAACACCAGAATAAATTTGTTTTTCTGGGTCACCCGAGAGTTTTGAGTCTTGACTCATAACAGATGGACATAGCCAACATTACATCATCCACTGGCAAAACCTTAGAAGCCTCAAGCTCACGCCTCAAGCATTTGAACATCAACTTGTATTCATTTAGACTTGAAGCTAGCGACTCAGGCTATAAACTCATCAGTTAAAAAAACATCCCCCCCTGCTGGCTGTTAGAAATAGTGCAGGTTTGAGGCATTAAAGCATCTGTAAGCCGCATCCAACTTTAATATACAGTCTATAGCCATAAACTGATTTTACCTTATTTGTTTCACACAGACCAAACTGATCAAGAACAGATTCACACTTTTTCAGGTCTCTCTTAAATCTTTCCTCTTACTCATACTGGTCATACTTTCCTGTGTGCTTTTAATGCAAGTGACGGAGGGTGGGGAAAATACAGAGTCTTTGTTCCCGTAACAGTCTGTGTTAATCAAATCAAGGCAAGTTTCTACAAAGTTGCCGTCTTAAGCTTGAAACTTCCTCTTTTTGTTGTCTACCGACAGAGTGGACAGACTTGGAAATATTCTACCTACATTATCAAGGATTGTGGGAAATACAGTGATCCGTGGAGCATTAAGCCTGAGCTAAACCGCAAAAGTAAAAAAAACACAACAAAAAAACAAACAGCAATGCAGAGAAATTATTGCTCAAGTACTGTGGGAGGACAGAAGAATGTTGACCCACCAGTCTCTGCTCCTCTAGCAGCCTTTTCTCCAGGCTCTCCTTTGCTGCTTTCAGTGCTTCCTTCAGCCTGCCGGGGACCTGGAGGAGGATATTTAAGATATTATTTATTTTTATTCTTCATCTTTGTTGTTGAACAAACTCACGGCAATAACGTCAAACTAAACCTCTCACCTTAATCTGGAGCTTTTCTGAACGTTGAAGCTGGACGTCGCTGAAAAGCCTGGAAAACAAAAACTTTGGCTCAGAAAAATAAACCTTACACTTCTCTTTATTCAGCTTTTATGTGACTGTCTGCCGCTCATAAACACAAAATTGAACAGGCAGTGGCTGAGGCTTTAGCTCTCACAGACAAAGCTGTGTACCCGATGCGGCCACATGAGGATGTCCTCCTCTCACTGACATCATACAGAGCCAAGAGCAGAACCAGAATGTTAGTGATGCAGTAGCTCACCCAGTTCACAATCCCTGACTATTCAAAGGCTATTGTAATGTGTGAAGTACAAAAACACAGCACAACACTTCGTTGTCACTAGTTGGCTGTATTGCAAAAACTAATGATATTAAAATCTACTGAGAAGTAAAAGAGGGTGAAACAGTCAATCACAAATTAATCTCATCCCAATGTTGTAAGCAGGTGTAACAGGACAAACAGACAGTGGCCATTACATGAGCTCATCAGTTCTTCAGGTAGTCAAGCTAAAACAGTCTTAAACTGAGTGTTTATAGCAGCCTGACATCTGAACCTCTCACAGGGATTATTTGAACATATGCTTACCTCATTATCTAAAAATAAATAAATAAAAGGCATTAAAAGCCATGTATCACACAATCTGTATAAAAGCCTTATAAAGTGTTCTCTTCATCCTCTCCACTGTAGGTTTGTTTCACACAGAAAAAGCGTAACTGAATTAGGAGTAATTTAGCTGGAAAGTCCTCTCCCACTCAAGTGCAAATGTCACAGTGCCAAAGAGGGCAGGCTTGCATGCTTTTGAGGACCCTGAGAACTATACCAGCTTTGGCCCCTGACAAGTTTAACAAGGTCAACAAGTCAGAGACAAGAAGCCAGATGAAGGAAGGCCCTGGTTCTCTGGGCTGATGGTGGGGAAACAATACTGTCAGACAACCTCATTTTACAGAAACTGAAACAAGGTCATCTGTCTGCAGACAAGACAAACTGCTGATTTATGTAAATCTTTACATTTGGCAGATTTCTGCAGCTATGATGGAGAGAACATTCATTTACAGTCCTTTTTTGGGTTTGTGTAGACATAACTTTAAAAAAAAAAAAAAAAGCTCCTATGTGCACTTGTGGGATAACAAAGACTCCCCGAGGGCTTTCAAGCTGTGTTTTACTTTAAAAACTAAAAAGAGGTGAACTCACGGCGTCTGCATGAGTGCCGACACTGTTGGCATCCCGCTTTTACAGGCTTCTGTGGACAGAATGGACTGCAGCACCGACACTGAAAAATAAACCATCAAAGATCAGCAACAATAAAACTGCAATTGCTCCATTTAGACATTCGGTCTCTACATATTAAAATACAGGATGTGTGTGTGTGTGTGTATTTACAGACCCACAGCTGTGGAGGGGGCAGGGGGGTACTGCTCGATGGGCACGCTGTCTGGCGGTCGGCCGTACGTCATCTCGTACAGTAAATGTCCAAAGCAGAAGACATCAATGCTCTCTGTGGTCTGCCGTGAACACACAAACAGTTTCTGTCTCTCAAACCTTCAAACAACAGTTTGCGGATCATCTGGCACACATAGTTTATTTAGTCTCTCAGTTTTTAATAAATCATTTCAGAGGTCACACTAACTACATCAATGATAAAAAGAATCTCTGTGTTTAGGTTTAGGTCTTATTTTAGCCTCAACTAATCAGGCTAATCCAAACTGAGTCAGTGTGTGCACATACGTTAATTTTCCTGAACTGGGTGAAGGCAGGTCGCAGTGCAGAGGGAACTCCCAGCATGCCGTTCTCCACGTCCATCAGTCGACACACGCCGTCATCGACAAGAACGTTAGACGTGTGCAGGTGACCAAAAAATATACCAGCGTCATGGAGGAGCTTTAGTCCCTGGATATAAACACACAGATAGTCACACAGTGTATGCATATAAATGTATGTGTGCATACATACGTGTGTGTATATGTATATGTAACTCTGTGTGTATATGTGTGTCTGTACCTCCAAAATCTGTCGGCCGTACAGCTTTATGTGTGGGAGCTCGAGGCCCTGACTCTTCTTTGGATTGCAGTACTTCTTCAGGTAACTCTCCCTGGGCTTCACCTGGACAAAGGAAGATTTTTGTTTGAACTACTTTTGACCAACTTGACAAACACAGCTTGATCAAGCCTATTTTAAGGAAACACTCCAATGCAACGCATACAGGAATCCTTCCTCATGCAATTAAAGTCCCATAATGCAACCTGTGTGTTCCAATATGATGAATGTTATTCTGTAAAAAGCACACCAGCGATGTTTTATTTTAAATTCAACAACTGATGCCGCTCAGCTATGGCTTCATATCACACAGGGAGACATTTAGGAGTGTTTAGTCTACTCAGGGTGTTTAAATCAGTTTCTCCATGTCGTTCCTACGTCTGACTTCCTGCCTCCCTCACCTGTTCCGTGTAGCTTGACACGACACAGCTTCTGCAAAAAGTAGACCCAACGCTACTTTAAGCACAACTGACAGGAGTTGTCTTGAGTAGGGCGGAAGCAAGTCCGGTGTTATTCCCGGCACAATTTTAATGCAGGCAGAATCTGACAAAACTGCATTTTTTGACTAGAGAGGGATTATGGTTAATAATTGTTAATATTTAATAACTGCTAGCAGTGCTTTGTCTTTTGTTGGTTTTACACATTGTAGTTTAACTTACTGGGAAAATATGAATAGTGCAAAAAAACTATAAACCATGTGTATATAGAGATAAGTGGTTCCATCAACTGCGACTCATGAAATTAGGCTGAAATTTCAGGGCGCCTCTCTTTGGTTCAGATGCTGTTTGACTATCTGAAAGTTTGACTGGACCACTGAAACACGAGCACACAGACTGTTTACCTTACAGATGTGGTCTCTCAGAGAGCCCTTCTCACTGAATGGCCGGATGAGCAGCGCTGAAGACTCACTGGTGCTAGAGAACAACAGTGGACAGAGATATGGGATCTGTCGAGGAAGAGGAGTTTAATCACTTACAGGCTATAAATGGAAACATGTGCAACTCTGATCAGGTGTTTGTCTGTTATACCATTTATGGTGAAGTCAACTTTGCCATTTATGTGCAAAGCTGGTTAGCTTTAGCTGGATGGTCAGTTGACAATTCATCAGAACGAACAGTTTCTAAATTGATCTAACAATTTAAGGTACATGATCACGTCACTAGCTAGCTCCGATGTCACAGATTGCTTTGTCTAATTCTTGGACAAATATGTGGTGCGTACGTACAGACAGGCTGGTCAACAGCTTTATGGCTGACTGCAGGTCTTTGTCTGACAGGAACTTATCAGGACCCAGGTCCACCTACACACACACACACACACACACACACAAAAACATGTGTTACCCCACCCTGCTGGGTGATACTATAACATCACCTAATTTTACTGAATCATTTGATGTCTTCTGAGCTTTTGAGGGAAGAAATGTCACTTAATAGTCACATTTTTACCAAAAAAGTCATATGTAAAAGAGCAAAGTTTTTCTTGTTTCCACATATTTTTGCTAAACTCTTGAAAACTTTTTCTGTGTACTGTCTTCTGAACTCAGCCAGTACCTTATAAAACAAAATATTTTGGTGATTACAGCATGTGCTATCTAATGTAGATTATTTGAATAATGCATTTCTGACATTCTTGCCATCAGTTTGGAGGCTGAGACACTGAAATATGAAGGATTTAATTCACGAATCATAAATCAGAGTTTCCAGAAGTCAAGAGCTGTAAAGTCACCTTAGCAGACTTACAAACACAGAGAGATGTGACAATCTTCATCTCTCCAAAAAGCTTTTAAAATGTAATTTATGGTAAAGTTAGCAAACTTTTAAACCAGTTTTCATATGATTTGATTGGCGATTCTATACATGCAGCTTTACATGCAGTTAACCATTAAAATAAATATTTATGATAAGTGCTTCCACAATATAACTCATCATACAAGAGCCCGCAAGAGCTCCAAAGCCTTTCAAGTTGTCTGCAGTGAAGAGGCTTTTGGCAAAAGATGATATTTAGCCACCATTTATATTTAATCAATATTTTTTAACTCATCACTTTTCATTGTCACAGAAATTCTTTCTGTTTTACTCACCCAGCTCAGCAGGTACCTCTCTTTGGTCTGCTCTTTGTTTTTGACTAAAAAATATTTCTTTCTGATCCTCCAGCCTGGAAAAAAAACAAAAAAAACAAACAGAAAACAGCGCCTCACTTTAACTGTAACTCAGCCAATAAGAGTCAAACATTTAGTCTAATATACTGCAGGCACCTTCACGGGCTTCCTCTCACGAATAAAACACTAACTTCATATCCAGCTTTACGCTCTCATAGGCTGCACAGATTTTGTTGCTTCAGTCTTAACTGACTGGTTTGGCCGGTCACTGTAGAACAACGCTTTTAGCTTCTGTGCCACCCCCTAAAATTCCTCCAGCTTCTTAGCAGTTAGCATTTTCTCATAATTACATTTGCAGCTGTAAAGGCTAAAGCGATCAAGTTAAGTCAATTTAAAAAACAACAAGGGTGCACCGTAGTGCTGTACAATCAAAAATGAATAAAACAGGTGAAAATACAGAAAAACAAAACAAGAACAACAAAAGAAACATGTCAGTCCTCAGTTACACTGAGCTTACTCCCTATTTATCAATAAAATAAATTAAATGAATGACTTCAATTTATTCAAATAATGGCATGAACCCATAGTCACTGCATTTTAATCTAAAAGAAAAAGTGTAAAAGGATTAACATAAATTGACAATAACAGATGTCAATTTAGAAAGGAAAACAATGCTCTAAACACTGCAGTCACAGCACTCTATTCACTAATGTTTTATAACTGAATCAGTCCGATTTCTTTTTAACGTGTCATGTGACTTAAACTTACCCATGTCTCTGAGAGGCTCCAGGACCTCCCACTTTGGGTCTGACCTGAAGAACATGGAGACCTGCTGCAGGGCAATTTCTGAGAGAAAGAGAGCCACAAAGTACACTTTAATGAAACTAAAGTCTCCTTAAATTACATTCTCTCTGAGTATGGGCTCACGGCAGCTGCAAGTATGAGTTCTCAGACTACAGCCGTTGTGGGAAATATACCAAAACAAACAAATCTTCATATGAGGAGTCAGAAAATAAACTGGGAAGAGACCTATGACAAATTTGCTTCCTTTTACTTCTGAACTCATATATAATTTTGATGTCAACTACAGCTGTGTAAAGTTCTGCATCTTGCAGGATTGCAATCTAGATGTGCCATTCAGTGTTTAGTTCCTGCTGCAGTGTTTCCAGAACCTCATACTGTAGTGATCATACACACACTGTGAAAACACCAGCCACATCGACACAGCAGCCCAAATACTGTACATGACAGTTGCTCCTAACAGTCCGTTTAATGTCATCTGCTTCCTGGTATATCAGAAAGTGGGAATGATAAGCAGGTGACACGACAGCTCTCACAACTAAGACAAATCTGATATGAACCCTGCTCACTGGAGCTCATAAAGCTTTAAATGTGTTTTATTATTTGTATTCGTTTTTGACGTGCATGACCCCTAAGCTGATACTGACGCGTTACATCATCTTGGGTTTATCGTTTTTGTTTTTCTGGCTTTTCTGGTGGTAGCTGGGCGGGAGAACTCAGAGAATCTGATGATTTCGGAATCTTCAAAAGAAATCAACAATGACAGAAAATTGTTTCATATGCAATAAATAACCAATCGTTATGAATCATGAACGGCTGTATTGTCAAGTAACGGATGTTGCTTCACTCACTGTGTGTTGCTGATCTTATCACATTAACCGCATGATGACTAAAGTTTAAAAAAAAACAACAAAAAACAGCAACATGTCTCGTATTTGGTCTCTTTTGAATCACTCTGTCACACCAAAGTCAGAATATGTTAAAAACTACAAAAATGCATCTGTCACAAGACTCTTTCATGCATCTCCAAACCAAACCGACATGATTGCACCTTTAAGTCCCATCAGTCACATTTTAGAAACCAACATTACTTTTGTAGTTCAAACCTGCATAAGAAAACAAAATAATAAAATATTCATTGTTTTATATACTGTCCTATTTTCTGTTTCTGTTCTGTTGCTTAACCCTGGGTCCTAATGGGACCATTGATGCAGCTAAACACCATCAAACAGGTGAGATAAAGGCTGTGTAGCAAGTTTGTTGTTGGAGGCCAAAGAGCTTTTGCGAGCTGTTTTCTGTCTACAGCTAAACACGAATCATCTTCTGGCATCAAATCAGCTGAAACAGTTTCACGTTTTATTCGAGAGGAGGGGGCTAACAGGATCATTTAGGAATGTGTCCCAAACATCCACTGAATCGCCAAGCTTACGGACGTGCGTGAAATCCAGTAAACGGAGAGCAAGCAAACCTGTGTAGTTGGCAGAGTAGTTGTTGGGGTCCAGAAACTTCTTGACTGGGAGGGAGCTGCAAAGCAGAGGATGCTGGGTAATTGTGTCCAGATAAGTTTGCAGTCCTCTCTGCCTTTCTGCAATGAACTCCCGGTCCATGTTTCCAATGAGCTTCTTAGGAGGGAGAGGGAGGGTGATGCCGCACACCTGAAGAGGAGGACAGAGAAAAGGATTCATATTTTTATCAACAGGCTTAAACAGATGTTTTTTCTGTATATTAGAACACTACATGAAAGAAAAATCACAGTCACTGTGTTTTCCACAGTTCTTCTGCATGCTGACTGATGGGACGTCAGGGTCAGAGTGAGACCAATGGAGAGGAAATGAACATGCAGAGCCTCAGCAGAAAAACGTTTAACTTCCTGTTATCCAGGAATTATATGTTTTTACTCTGAGACAAGTAACAACCATATCTTCAGCAGTCGGATACAACCCAGCTCCACTGACTGTTACATTCAGGAAGACATGATAACTGACTGAAGTGTTTAGTGTTATTAATAGATAGAAATGATCTTTTCCTCAGTCTATGTTCCTGTCAGGTAGAAAGCTTTGAAAGGTAAACTTCCTCTATGTGCCAATATTTGCTGCCCATGTTCTTATATGTATTGCATCACTGTATATTGCAACACAGAAATATGCAGAGCCAAAAAGGCAACCACAACATAATCTGATCAGCAGAAGCTTTGCAGACTGAGCACACTGAGGTTTCCTGAATTTAAGCATTGTTCTACTTTCTCTGAAAATGGAGGAACACTAGATTACAGAAACATTTAACGTAAATTTTACGTACTTACTGTATGTGTTTCCACTTCCACTATTGTCCATTGCTTTTATTTCCTCTCTGTGTGTAGTTGTGTACTGCAGACCTGTGGCATTTTGTCTCTGTATACTTTCTAAAATTAAGACTACAGCTGGGCATTAATAACAATGAATCAGTGCAGAGATGACTGCTGGCCTCTTATACCACCAGCCGAGGCTTCAGGCAAATGTAAACAGAGTTTTGAACCGGACGTAACCAACCGTCTCTGAGCTTTCACACACAGGAAGAAGATTGGGCAACACTGTTGTAGTGGCTGTATGAGTGTCTAAAGGCACTTGTAGTCTGTGGACTGTGGCAAAAGAGTAACAAGTCTCTCACATATTACTGCTGCTCATTTCCACAGCTGACTACTGTGAGCTATGTGATGTCTTCAAGTGTGTCGTTTCCACGACGTTCATGCGAGCAGCATAACGAATTCAATGTTTAAACTGCTCAAACGTCAATGAAACAATCTACATACCGAGTCAGTCTCTAAAACACAGTGATACTTCATTCGCTGTCATGCAGTTCATGACTGGAACTCACCATCAGGCTGTTGTTAAGAACGTCAAAGTCACTGTAACGTCGAATCACCTGCAACAAACACACACACACACACACACACACCTGTCAGGACTGCAGCGTTACGGGTCATTAAGATTCTTTAAACGCTGACTTTGGAAGGCAAAATGTGAGGTGAGCATATGTATCCTGCCTTCTTTAAAGTTCCTCCAAGTTGCACAGCTTAACACTAAAAACATTTTGGGTGGATATTTCCAGCAAGCTGTGAATTAAAATCATAAAAAGAAAACTGAACTAATGATAAACAAAGGATGTTTTTAGAACTCCCTTTTTAACAGGAAGAGAGCTTCAGTAGATCCAGTTGGGCAGGAAAGAGAAGACAGAAGATTAGCACAGAAAGAACCAAATCAGGAGTATAAAGAGGTGTTTGGTGCATCACATGAAGTTCCCCCAGCAGTCTGAGCCTATAGCAGCGTACCTAAAGGATGCTCCAAGGTCACCTGATCCAGCCAAACTATCAGCTTTTTCAGAAGGAAAGTAAGAAAGAATCAAAACTAGGAGCGGGTTCCAAAGAAAAGGGGCCTTACTTGCTGAAGGCTCTGCCTCCCATTCTACTTTTAAATACTCTAGGAACCACAAGCAAACCAGAAGTCGGAGAGCAAATGCAAATGCAAATGCAAATGCAAATGCATTCCTGGGATAATAAGGTACTTTGATGTCTTTAAGAGATATAGGATCTGATTAGTCAACACTTCGTATGTGAGAAGGATTTTAAATTCATATCTAGATTTAACAGGGAGCCAATGAAGAGAAGCCAGCGTGGGAGAAATATGCTCTCTCTTTATAGTCTCTGGATCAGCTGGAGGCTTTCCAGGAAGATTTTAAAGGAACACGATAATAAAAAATTACTGCAATTCAGCCTAGAGTTAACAGACGTATGCAAAATGAAGTTTTCTTTGTCACTCTGAGACGGGATGTTTTTCATTTTTGTACACATGACACAGCAGTCCTACAAGTTTGTCTAAGGCATGGGTTAAAGTAAATATCCGGCCCAAGATGACTTGAGGTTCCTCACAGCATTACTGTGCTGATATGTTTTATGTTTATCAGGAGACAGCACACAGGCAGGGGAGTATAGCAACAATTACTTCTCTTCTAAATCACATTTATTTTACTTCAATTTTTTCGCTAAAGACTAAAACAGATGCATCAGCAAACAAAGAGAAAAAAATGCACAGAAACAAATAAAAACCAGGATGAAACAGCAAACGCAATCTAAACATTTGTGAGGGCAGCTGTAGTACAGTATGTGCCAACTGTGGATGTTGGGCCATTCATTCTCCAGGTGACCAATTTGAGGTTGTTATTAGAAGATTTACCTGCCAGCTGTTGTCTAAAGACACGCCCCTCTGGACTCGGATTATGTACTCCTGAGAGACAGAGAAAAAAATAGAAAATAGAACCATTGTTTTATTATATAGTGTAATTGTGTAATTTAAAACAAAAAGCCAAGCTGAGAATAAGGTTTCACTTGGATTAAATTTAACCTTTTAGAGTCACTAAAAAGAAGAAAGCAAGCAAGAAAGAAGGATGCAAAAATTCGAAATTAATGGACAGATGATAGATGGAGGAAGAAAGGATGGAAAAAGGGGAAGGAAGGAAGGAAGGAAGGAAAAGAAAAGAAAAGGAAGCAAGGCGGGGAGGTGGATGGATGGAAAACAAATAACAATTGAAAGAAAGGAGGATAGATGGAAGAGAGGAAGGCAGGAAGGGAAAAATAAGGAAAGAAAGATGGATGTGCATGGAAAGGTGAAGGTTGGAAGGAAGGAAGGAAGGAAGGAAGGAAGTAAGGGGATTGGTTAGGATAGTATAGATGGATGGCCAGGTGAAGAGTGAATGTGAAAAACAAAAGTTTCCACCAAAGCCAAATTGGAAGCAGGATAATGATTTTAATGAGGTTTCATGTTTTAACCATCAAAACTGTTACTAAAATCCACTCACTTGCACCAATGTAGTAAACAGTAAATAAAAATTAATAAAAACACTTAAAGAAAACAAAATTGAACTACAAATTGAACAACAAAACAAACAACTCTTGCAGCGAGGCCAGCTACGCAAGAAAAAAAAGGCACCGTTAAAGGAGTTCACACATGTTGGGTGAATCCCCTTTCTGTTTCATTTCCACATAAATGATCCACATCAGAGGATCTGCCTGCTCATGCCATCCTTGTCACAGATCTTTGCAATGAAGCCGCTGAGCAAAATATTTTCTCGACCGTCAGAAACGATGGACGCGAATATGAAAACAGGACCGAGCGTGTAAACTCTGCATTTTCCCCTCTTTAATCCTCTCAGTCCACTCACCGTCTATTTCAAGCTTTCAGAGGTTCAGATTTCTGCTGTAATCGTGCAATCAATCATGTGAGCCGAGCAGCTTCATAAACAGCTAAAGGCTTGAAATTACCGCCGTCCAGCTGATGTTTGTTAATACAATCTCTCATTTTGGAGCTTCATGCCACTAAACTCAGCTCCTCTTTCACCATTTGAACTGCTGTCTTTTTATCTTTTCTTAAAACCATTCGTTTCATAAAGTAAAGTCACTCACATGAGGTCCACTGAGGTGGCCAGACCGATGACTTTTATACACAACTGCTACTAAACCAAATGTGTTTTCTTAGTCGATGTCTTTATAAAATGTTTTATATTCAGTGACGTGTACAGCTTCCAAATCTGTATATCTTAGAAACCAGTCAGGATGAATGTGAACTTCCTGTTCTTGCTTAGCAAATATTGTGTTTATACTAGTTTTCTGAGATATTACATGGATACATTTCAAAAGGCAGAACTTTTACTTTTTTACTGTTTCCGTTCACTTTCGTTTTTGTTGCTCATATTGGATAACAAAACAAGGTGATGTTGAATTATATCACAAATCTTCGTCCAAAGCGAAAATAAGACGAAAGTAAGTTTTCAGATCACTGTTGAAGAACAAACAAACACGTGTCAGTTTACATTCGCATTAGCAGAAGTAAGATGATGAAAGGAGGAAATACCCTAAAAGAAAACTGACATTTCTCATTATTCAACAGCTGCACTGAATTATAATTTGTGCACTGAACCATTGTAGCGACCTTGACTTGATTTATTCGGGCTATGATGTTTGCAGACGACACTGATCTATAGTGAGAGGAGGGAGCAGGTGAAAGAGAGTCTGGAGAGGTGGAGGTATGCATTAAAGAGAAGAGGAATGAAAGCCAGTAGAAGGTGGATGAGTTTACTATCATCCACACGAGAGGTGAAGCAGAGAGTGCAAGCAGGGTGGAGTTGGTGGAGATAAGTGTCAAGGGTAATTTGTGACAAAAAGACAGCAGCAAGAGAGAAAGGGAAAATTTACAAGACGATTTTAAGATCTGCTATGATGTGTGGTTTGGAGATGGAGCCACTGAGAAAAAGAGAGGAAGTAGAGCTTTCGGAAGCAAAGTTTAAGATGCTCAGATTTTCAATGAGAGGGACAGAGGAACAAGGATGGACAGGAGTAGAAAAAGGGACAGAAATAGGTACTGCCAGAGGGGCAGCTCAGGTTGAAGAAAAAGAAGAGCACAGAGAATATTCATGGATTCGCCATTAGATTTTTGTTAATCTAATGGCCAAAAATAACAATAAAATGAATACACTCCTTTTAAGGGAGTTAACACAACACTGCGCCTGTTGTATTCGCAGACCAATAATGCCTAATCACCCCAGAATTTTATCCAGAAAAAAAGCTGTTATGAAATTTTACAGCAAGTCTTTAAATTCCCCAAATCTTCGAATTAAGGTTGTTACCACATCAGAATTTCACCTGCACATTACCTGCCAGAAGAGCTCACCATAATGAAATTATTCACATATCCACAGAAGAGTGAAAACTTTGTTTATGAGGTGATTTGTCTCTTTTTTGCCGTAATGAATTACACTCAGAGTAGTGAATGGAGGTGGAGAGAGTGAGTCTATAACAGCAGATGTAAAAAACAACAACAGTTGCACTGACTGACTGTGTCAGGTGCTGTAACACCTGCCAAATGAGACCATAAACCTCCATAGTGCACACTGACACTATATGATGTGCATCATAAACATGATTTAAATAATTAAATTAAAACAGAACCCTGCATCTAGTGTTGGAAACATCACTGCAAACGAAACCCCGTGAGAGACTCGAGCCCATCAGTGTTTGTTTCTGTGTAGTCAGCTGTTTGTAATTGGTCATAGAGCAGAATGACTAGCAGTACTTTACTGCCTGAGCACAGTGCAGTAACCAGAGGCCTGTCCTCTCAGAGCTGCATTAATTCTGGAGCTGCTTACATGTTGGGAAACTCTGGAAAGGTCTTGTGACAGCTCTGGCATCAAACAAAGAGCAAAACATAGCTTTAAACGCACAGAGAGCTGCTTATTTTTGTTTATTCTCACTGTTGACTGAAGAATGAGGGAAAACAATAACCCCGTGGATTAACAGATATAAATAAATACGTGGAAACAGGACGTTAATGATTAATACTCATATCCAGCTGTATTAGTGCCTTCAGTGGAAGACATGATTCTGTTTTACAGTGCTGACATTAGCGTGCTAAGCTAACTGGCTAGCTCAGCTGATCGCAACCGGACTGTCAACAACAAACAGGCTGCCATGCACCCATTATCGGACAACCGCGACAGTTCAACGACACCAAGTTTACTTTATTCACCAACGCTTCTCATTGTAACGCTGCACATTTTGATATAACGTAACATGGGCATTGCTTTTTGCCTCTAAATCTTTGGCCTCTAACGCCATCAGACACCGCCCCGAACTCCAATGAAAAATCCGATAATTTTACAGTTTCTGTGGATTTCAGCAGTTGCTTAATAATAATCACACATTTTATCAGCTTACATATACACAGACCCACGCTCACTTTGATCTG